ACCAAAGGTAAGCAAACCGCCACATTATACTATAACTATAATAAGGAACACCCAAAATAGTATAGGTAATTATTGAAGCCCCTATAGTAGGCCCCCCCAAACCGCCTGCTTTGTGGAACCCTATAGATCCCTTTAAAGGAACCCCAGGAACCCTATAGATCCCTTTAAAGGAACCCTATAGATCCCTTTGAAGGAACCCTATAGATCCCTCTAAAGCTTTGTGATTAGGGGTTTTAGGGTTTCGAGTCTGTCGGAGGTCAAGGTGGAGGAGATCTAGGGCTCAGATGGCTTAGATTTACGGTTTAGGGTTTAGGGTTTTAGGGTTTTAGGGTTTAGGGTTTAGGGTTTTAGGGTTTTAGGGTTTTAGGGTTTTAGGGTTTTAGGGTTTAGGGTTTTAGGTTAGGGTTTAGGGTTTTAGGCTTTAGGGTTTAGGGTTTTAGTTTTGATGGATTTACGACATTAGGGCTCACTGAGGGCCTTAAACCGCTCCATTCAAGCTTTGCAAATATTTGGGGGAATATTCCTGGGCGCTACAAGGCATTCAGGAGATTGGCTCGGCAAGCTTCGAATTCCGGACGTTGGGGGCTCCGGGATTCCAGTGTCAAGATGTCATGCTGCATCTGGCGTCGTCCGCCGTTCCTGGGGCGGAAAAAAGCCCATTCTTGAATGTATTCCTGGCTCTTTGGCCCGTCTTCTTGCTCGATAACTATTCTGGGGAACCCGGAACCAGAAGGAGAACTGTTGTAATGCGTTTAAATTATCATGGTCATGAAGCCATTTTCTTCCTGCAGATCCGGACTAAGGTAACTTAATCTAAGCTCGTTAACAGGAACCTAGTAAGGTCCCTACATTCAATTGAGCTTGGGATCGTTCCGTGTCCGGTCTTCCGGAACATGATGTCGCACCATGGGACTAGACTAGCCTGAAGAAGTTTCAATGTTGCTAACTCGAGTGCTCGGAGCAAGTTCTAGCATTTAGTAGTCTACTGACATAGTCCTAGTTGCTGAGCTCCTAAGCCCCAAAAAGTGCACACTTTCAGTAATATTATCCCCAAAAGGTGTATCCACTCGCGGGGGCGAAGAGCCTGGGAAGCGCTCTGGATTCGAGCACAACTTCTGGGAATAAAAACGAGACGCAGGCTTCTATGGAGGCGTCGAAGGGGCGTGAGCTTAGGGTATGGGGTGCTATAAGATCTTACGCGCATTTACGAGGGTTTGGGGTTTCAGAGGATTTGTACGCGGGTCGTTCAGTGGCTTTGGGATCCAGCCTCAGTCTGAACTCGTAAACGAAGTTGCTCAGAGGGATTGGCGTCCGATAACAGACAGACTTGAGGCGACTTCGGGGAGGTTTGTCTCGCAACTGTTTCAGGGAACCCGAAATAATAACGCGAGTAATTCTTTCGGCCCCTACATTGAACCCAGAGGCAACCCCCAGACCGCAAATGTACGGTTTATGACTCAGAAAACCCACAAGCCTCTAAGTGATTTAGGATCCCTCCACAGAAGGTGGGGGGGGGGGGGGGGGGGGGGGGGGGGGGGGGGGGGGGGGCGGTCGTCCAGTAAGGGCTTTGGGATTCTAAAGCCCTACAAAACCGTGGAGCTACCTTGCAAACCCCTCTGAAAGCCTTGCACAATCTTAGAAAATCTCTCGTCAGGTCGAACGAAGACTGGATGTGTTCTGGAAATCGGCTTGAAGCTCTGGCTAAAGTTTGGACGCCAAGTTTGCAACCCTCACCCCTAAACATTGCACGAAAGGATTTGGCTATGGGGATCAAATGCTTCTGATTACGGCTTGGGGATCCCCTATTTTCAATTGAGAATGAGGCGACCCCTTTTCTTCGTATTCAGTTCCAATCAGGAAGCCTAACAAGATTGTGAAGGGGTATCATTGAGGGACCTAATATGGATTTTGGGAAATATTGCACTACGATTACAATAAGTAACCCTCAAAACAGCATCACTACGATTACAATAAGTAACCCTCAAACCAGTATTGGCAGTGATTTAGGACCGTGTATCAGCGTCATTTCTAGGGGTTCGGGCTTGGTGAGTCCGCTTTGCCCCCTGCGCAGAAGCCCGCGAAGTGTGGCCATCCACACACCCCCAATGCTCTTCAATAGAGCAATAAATGTGGGCAAGGGCTTGGAAATGCTGTGTTATTCTGAGGAACTTCTTTTGCTATCTAACAGTCATGCAGGCGCTCTCGCGAGCTTCTTATCCCTCAGATTTCTCGACTCTGCGCAAACTGGGGTGTTGATCTTGGCTCACTTCTGGTCAGTACTTCGTCACAACCTTACCATACATGTGTATGTATACGTACATGTCCATGTCTATGTCTATGTGCTCATGTCAGTATATGTCAGGTATATGTATATCTATGTGCATATGTATATGTATACAGATGTGTACAGGTATATGTCTATGTGTTCATGTATGTGTATGTGGGGTATATGTATATGCATATACATACACGCACATACATCCATTCTGCGTGTGTGTATATATACACATACATATATATATATATATATATATATATATATATATATACACGTGATATATGTGCATACACACGGACACCATCCGTATGTCTGCACCCCTCAACCGTGAGCCCCCAGAAAATGCTACCGGCACTACACGAAGAGCATCAAGAGTTGTAGAACCCTTATAGTACCCTTTAAACACTAAACCCTCACCCCTAAACCCCTTAACTCCTAAACCCTAAACCCTAAACCGCAAACCCCTAAACCCTGAATCGCTAGACCCTTAATTAAACCCTATAAAAGGCCCCCTACACTACGCCAGGGTCGCCAGCACTTCCTCGGGGGTGCCGGGTCTCAGCAGGCCTCTGCCGTCCCAAGGCAGGACCGAGCCGCCCACTAGGGGCTCCAGCCTCTCCATGAAGATTGTTTGGGGTTTAGTGGTTTGGGGGTTTGGGCTTTGGGGTTTAGGGGTTTGGGGGTTTGGGGTTTAGGGGTCAGTGGCTTGGGAGTTTGGGGTTCAGGGTTTAGTATTTGGGGGTTGGGGTTTAGAGTCTAGGGGTTTAGGGGTTTAGGGTTTAAGGGTTGAGGGTTGAGGGTTTAGCATCTTATGAAGGGCTTAGGATCTTAGCATTTGAGATTTTAGGGCTTAGGATCACAAGGGCGTTCAATAGGAGCTTCACGGGATTTCGGATCTTAAGGGATTCGGATCTTGAGGGCTTTAGGACTTTAGGATTGTAAGGGTTTAGGGTTTAGGCTTTAGGCTTTAGGATTTAGGATTTAGGGCTTAGGATTTAGGATTTAGGGCTTTAGGATTTAGGGCTTAAGGTTTAGGATTTAGGATTTAGGGTTTAGGATTTAGGATTAGGGCTTAGGATCTTAAGGGCTTCAAGATCTTTAGGGTTTAGGGTTTTAGGATTTTGGGACTGTAAGGGCTTAGGATATGGGTGGTTGTCAAAATTATGGCCCCTTTTGGGGTACCCTAAATATAGGTGCCGTATTATAGTAAGGACCCCAGCAGGGACCCTATTAGGGTTTGGGGTGAGGGTTTGTTGTTTACGGACGAGAGTTTGAATAGGGGAATAAGTGGGTTTCTCTCTAGGACGTACTGCAGCGACATGGAAAGGTAATGCAAGGGCCTTAAGAATTAGAATAGGGTTCTGCAGCTTCCTTATTATAAGAATAGTACAATATACGCATTCTAATTGTTAAGGCCCCTGCAATACTCATGTAAAGGTCCTTTAAGAGAGGCCTCGATGTGTTTTGCGCCAAGGGGTCCCGGGCTTCTGTAGAGTAAAACCCTGGACCCTAAACCCTAAACCTTAGACCCTAAACCCTAAACCTTAGACCCTAAACCCTAAACCTTAGACCCTAAACCCTAAACCATAAGGACCAAGACGCTTCTTTAAGCTTTCGCTTACGGTTCGAACACGAACACGACTCATTGAAACCCTGCTAAAACACGCCCAGAACCCAGAACCCTAGACCTTGTCGGCCCTAAACCCTTTTAGAGGCCTTAGCAGGCCCGTCAATGCAACCCTCCCTCAAAAAAATCCCTACACCCTATGTTCAAGCGAACCCCACACCCCGAGTAAAAGGAACCCTACACCCTTATACTTACCGTTGGTTAGTAGGGAATGGAAGAATGGATATAATAGTAGTTATAATCGTACCCCATCTTCCATTCCCTACAAATCAAAAGTAGGTTAAAAAGGTACCCTAAACCCTAAACCCTAAACCCCTAAACCCTAAACCCTAAACCCTAAACCCTACGCCCTTATCGAGCCCTCATCTGCCCCATGCTCTATCTGCTGGCAAAGGTCTCATCGAACCAAATGGCTGTCTCGGTGTACCTCTGCTTGGCTCAGGGTTTAGGGTTTAGGGTTTAGGGTTTTAGGGTTTAGGGTTTAGGGTTTAGGGTTTGGCGTTCTGGGTTTGGGGATTAGGGGTTTGGGATGTTTTAGGGAGGGCACTTGGCGAAGAAGACCCGGCCAATCCAGGAGGGATCACGGCATTGCCTCGGATCTGCTCAGCTTCAAGGCTTCTACACGGTTTTATAGACTTATAGATGTAAAAGATTGGAAGTAAGGTCTTTGAGGAAGTTGGGAGGATTGTATAGGGTCTCGTTTATTGTCTAAGATGTTCGGGTGGTGGCAGATGTTGCTTTGGTATAGAGTGCTTTAATGCTGAAGATCCTCCGCCGTACTGCAACACACGCCCTAGCGAACTACTCTCTACGAAAGTCGCGTTCTTCGCGACGGACGCAGAGCCTAAGGCCTGCACTTCAGATGTCAAGTGTGCGCCATCTCTTCAAAGTCCAATAGACATTAACGGGCTGAGCCGTAAGCCCCAAACTCCTTGCTTCCAAAGTCGAACTAGCTCATCACACACAAGTCGCAAAGTTTTTACTTCCAACGCTTAAGCGCGAAAACCCTGAAGCCTGACACCTGACACCTAAACCGACACCCACAACCCAACCCAAGCCTTATAGTTCAAAAGCCTGGAACATCATCCGCCCATCCAAGCTGCAGAAATCTCATCACAAAGGCCTTCTGGCCATTGACAATCTCGATGCCGGAAATTTCAACCTGCTTCTTAGTGCCATAATTTGGGGTTCGCTTCACTAGCATCGCAATATCGTGCGCGCATGTGTGCGTGTGTGTGTGTGTGTGTGCATGTATAGACGAAGTATGTGTGCGTATGTATATATATATATACATATATATATATATATATATGTAGGAGTTGTGATTTGTAATCAATGTATGCCTCTATATATATATATATACACACACACTTTATCTCATACGTACATAAGCATGTACAGAAATACATACACATGTAACTACATAAACACACATGCATACGTACATACATACATACATGCATACATGAATACATGCATACATACATGCAGACGAAGATACGGAAGTACATACATGCATGCACAAAACTGCATATGCCTACATGCATGCATGGATAAATGGATGAATGGATGAATGGATGAATGGATGAATGGACGGACGGATGGATGGATGGATGTGAGATGTATGTGTGGATGTATGCATGCATGCATGTATGTACGCGTGCATGTATGTATGCATGCATGTCTGTATGTATGCGTATGTGTGCGGGCATGCATGCATGTACGCCATGTATGTACATGGTTGTATATCAGACACACAAAAGATGCACACCTACGCAAACATAGAAATGCATATACATATACATGTACATATAAATCTAAAGATACATGTACACATACGCATGCATAGACGTATGCATATGCATAGGTATATTTGCATGTCCAATGTACATGTATGTATGTAGGCCTGTTTGTGTGTGTGCGCGTGTG